AATATTTAAAACGTGATTGTGAAGGAGAAACAAATAATAGAGTAACTGTAACCCTACTTTTGGCCCACCCTGTATATATATATATCTAAGTTCACAATTTTCTTATCTGAATCAAAACCAGAAAAAGGTTCAACGTTATACTCAAGTCTCAGGAACTTGTTAAAACATTTAAAGACTGACTGAATATCACAGTTTCTATCGTGACTATAACATACATCAGATGTGTAAACTATAATATCCATAGATACTTTCTACTTCAAACTGTCATTTTAAAAGTAGTAGCGTGTAGATTACAGTACTTTCTTCCGAATCTGTGAAGTCGATTACTGTTAGTACGTACGGAGTGAAGCAAAATAGTTCTTCTACTTGTATGTGAAGTCATATTGAAGTGGTTATTTTGAACACTGGAAATGGTTACAAACCTAACACCGAACAAATTTTATAAATGATAGTACATCCTGCCATCTAGTGTCATTAGATATTAAATAATCACACTTGGATTTTAACTACAAACTTTTCGAGCTCACTAGATAAAAATAACAACAGAATTGAAAAACAAAATAATATCATGAAAAATTTTAGTAATATTAACAAGTATGTGTACACATCAGATCTTTTTTTTTGTTTTGAACCTCGTGTAACGTAAGACAAAATATTGGCAAAACACTAAACTGGACCTTTAAACTTTAAAAAAATATTTTTAAACGTAATTTTGATTCTTGCAAAAGCACTATGTATTATGAAACAGTCCTCATAAAGTAGACTTCAATAACAAAAACAGATTTAGTCATTATTATGGGTGTTTTATGGTTGTTAATGATTCTTGTTTACTGGCAACGTCCGAGAGTCTGAACAGTAGGAATTGTTTGTCTCGTCCAGCATCGATAAGTTGATCTTTCAAAACCCTAGCCATGTGCTGGTAAGCTGATGACTGGGCCAAATAATAATACAAGGTCAAGCTGAAAAAGAAAAGGCAACTTAAAACTTAAAAAAATGTGCAGATGTGTGTTAGAATGAAAGTCAGATCACCATATTAATTGTAGTATACTTGAGAAAACATGGTTACCAACAACATAAACGTGCAACTGTAAAAACTGTTATCCTTTGGTCATTACAGAGTAGCTCGTTTCGTAAGATGTCTAGGTTATGGCTGATGGAGTAATTTCCATTCACTTTCATGAAACAAAGTCAATGACAACTAAAACCAAAATGATTCTGATATATTTTGTCGTTAGGTTTTTGTTTGGATGCTTCAAACATGTCTGATGACGTTCTAGTTACAAACAGTGATCCTCTGTAAACTAAGCGTTGTATGATAGCTAAAACTAGTGGAAACAACAGATGAGAAATATAAGCTAAAGATAAAAGTCCATATTAGAAGTATTAGTAGGTGGTAGTACCTAATAATTACGTTAAAACCTCACGCACATCAAGAAACTAAGAGCTGTCTAAAGAGAAACTTACCATAAAATCATAAAACAAGGTACAGCAAAACCAGCACTGGTCATAAAGTCAATAATTCTTTGTAAAGTTGTTGGCCACGAACGAACCATTTCTTTGACTGGTGACCACATCGTAGAGTAAATACGAAAAGGACCACAGCTATAGGATGGAGAAACCCTGTAAAAAATAGAAGTTACAATCATGTTACACATAAACTCAAACTTTGTATACTCTATTATAAGTGAGGTTATAACAATGAATAAAACATTAGAATAAATATCCACACAATAAAATCAGAAATCTTTATGTAATCTCAACCTAACATACTATTAATGCTTTTAACCAACACGTTGCATTCATAATAGTCAACCCTTTTTTACTTTAAGCCTAACTGTCTATTACAAACACACATATATTTCTACCATGTATGATTACTGTGATCACACTTTCGAGCATAAACAGTAACTAGAAACTTGCATAAAGAAATTTATCCTGGAAATTTTTGTAAAGTTTGGTTTCACTTTGTCAACAGAACGACAGTACAGCGAGGAAAAAAATTCTAACTTTAATGAACATCTAGGTTAACTCATAAAACTCTTAGTGGTTTAAATGTTTGAGTGACCATCTCACCCAGAAAGTAAATTATTAGAACTTCAGAGGGTGCTGTTACTTAATAAGGTATTAAATTAGAACTTCAGAGGGTGCTGTTACTTACTCAGGTATTAAATTATTAGTACTTCAGAGGGTACTGTTAATTACTCAGATAGTAAATTATTAGAACTTCAGAGTGCACTGTTAATTACTCAGATAGTAAATTATTAGAACTTCAGAGGGCACTGTTAC